CTGCAAGCACCCCCAAGAGAAAGCTGCCCTCGAGTTCTGACCAATGCCAGACAGTCCAGTTTCTCTCGTATGAGTCTGGATCCCCAGAGACTCGCCCGGAACTGGAGCTCAGAGCTTGAGACTCCCTCCTGATTGAAAAAGTCAACCGTGTCCTCAGCTGCCAACCCTCTCAGCATGCGCCTCTATATCTGTTTTTTACTTCAGCGCCGCACCTCCTCTGAGTTTCGGTATGCTTTTCTCTTTCCTTCTAGTTGTAGAAATTCCACTCAGCCAGCCTTCCTGTGGTTCTGGATGATGTCCATTATGTCTTTTAGTTGTATTTTTGAAGTGGTTATGCGAGGCAGCAATCTCCGGTGTTTACCTATGCCGCCATCTTGGTTTCTCTCAAAAGCTTTAATTTTCATTGAAATGTAGGTTTATTTCAATAGAGACATGCTGAATACAAAGGACTAAAATAAATGAGTAATCGTTAAAATAATAGAAAATTTTAATAAAATTTGATATTTTTTGAAGAACATTAACTTACCAGACACTGAATAACTGCACAAATTAATAAGTGTAACACAACAAACCTATTTTTCTTGTTCTCCGATGAAATATTTTTTCCTGTTGTGCACACCAAACAAGTCAGTACAAGACTAATGACATGGCAATCAGCTGCTAAAATATTCGCTGCCAGTATTAGTGGAGAGAAATGGTGCGCCTGTGTGTAAGGTGTGTAAGGGAAATGAATGCAACGTAATTATGTAATCAGTCATTAGCGAACATTGTAGTTCATCATTAATAATTATGTATAACAGGATATTGTAAAAATTAAGTTACAAAATTTTTATTAAAACCTTTCTTACATACCATTATATTGGCTGGGCCTCAAAAAAATATTCATTGTTGGCCTGCAGGCCATGAGTACATCCTTGATGTACATGCATATCTCATGCAGTGGTCCTTATAAATCAGGGATGGGGAACCTTTTTTTTGCAAGGGCCATTTGAATATGTATAACGTCATTTGTGAGCCATACAAAGTTATCAACTTAAAAATTAGCCTACTGCCCTAGCCAGTTTGGCTCAGTGGATAGAGCGTCAGCCCATGGTCTGAAGGGTCCTGGATTTGATTCCAGTCAAAGATATGGACCTCGGTTGCAGGCTCTATCCCTGGACATGGTCGGGGCCCATGTTGCTCTCTGTCTCTCCTCCCCCCTCCCACTCTCTCTAAAAATCAATAGAAAAATATCCTCAGGTGAAGATTAACACACACACACACACAAACACATAAAATAGCCTGCTATTTTTGGTCAAACATTTAATTAACTCACCCCTAATGTGTTGGCAGAGCCAGACCAAATGATTTCATGGCCTTATACAGCCCATGGGCTACCAGTGGTTCTCAACCTTCCTAATGCTGCAACCCTTTAATACAGTTCCTCATGTTGTGGTGACCCCCAACCATAAAATTATTTTTGTTGCTACTTCATAACTGTAATATTGCTACTGTTATGAATCGTAATGTAAATATCTGATATGCAGGATGTATTTTCATTGTTACAAATTGAACATAATTAAAGCATAGTGATTAATCACAAAAACAATATGTAATTATATGCATTAGGAAGGTTGAGAACCACTGGGCTAGACGTTCCCTACCCTTATTATAAATAGTAGCAGTATTATAATTTATCCTTATGTTAAATGACCTCCTTAATCCTGCTCTTTGGAGCTGACAAAAGAATTTATCTCCACCCCCATGGGAAAGCCCTTCAGGTACCTGAAGATGGATCCTAGCCTCCCTTAAGCCTTCTCCTGTGCAAGTTAAACATCTCTATTTTCTTCCATCATTCCTCTTACATTTTGGATTTTAACATCTTTGCCTCCTCAGTAGATGTGCCCATTTGAGGACGAGTCAGGATAGACTCTAAGACTGTCCCGTCAGCATGGAGGACATGGGACACCCTCCTCCCTCCATCCAAGTGAACCCGCTGCTCCCAACACCAGAACCGGAGCTCCCCTGTGCTTGGCTTCCCTCCCACACTGTCAGGTCACACTGAACGTGGGTCCGCTCAAAACATGCCGTGTCCACAGTGGCTGCTGTGGACTCCCCCTTCCTCTCCATATGCAAATAATTATTTAATCCCCTTTTTGTTGTTGTTTGTGTTTGTTTGTTTCCATTGAAATTTACCTATTATTCTGAGGTACTAAGAGTTTCTTGATGTTAATTCTTGATTCTGACACCAAACTCCAAAACAAACAGTGTGGGAGTCAAAATGCAAAAAAGGTCAAGGAGGTAGATTTACGCTCAGAATAAGATCTCATCTTTGAAGATATCTAGCAAAGGTCTCGGCTATTTCTCCACCAGAATTCGATTCAGGCCAAGACAGAATTAAAACATGTGCAAAGGAGTGTAAATGGGAAAATTGGGCCTCAGTTTCCCAATAAGCATGAGGAATGATTCATCAACATTGTCTCTAAGGGCACTTGCAACCCTTAATCCTTATTCTATCAGAATTAGTCTGTAACCGATACAGATCCGAGGGCATTGGAAACTAAAGAGAAAATAAACAAATGGGACCACATCAAAATAAAAAGTTTCTGCACAGCAAAAGAAACCATCAACAAAACAACAAGAAAGCCCACTACATGGGAGAACATATTTGCCAACATTATATCTGATAAGGGCCTAATCTCCAACATTTATAGGGAACTCATACAACTTAACAAAAGGAAGATAAACAATCCAATCAAAAAATGGGCAAAGGACCTAAATAGACACCTTTCAAAAGAGGACATTCAGAAAGCCAAGAGACATATGAAAACATGCTCAAAGTCACTAATCATCCGAGAGATGCAAATCAAAACAACAATGAGGTACCATCTCACACCTGTCAGAATGGCTATCATCAACAAATCAACAAACGACAAGTGCTGGAGAGGATGTGGAGAAAAAGGAACACTCGTGCACTGCTGGTGGGAATGCAGACTGGTGCAGCCACTATGGAAGACAGTATGGAGTTTCCTCAAAAAACTGGAAATGGAACTCCCATTTGACCCTGTGATCCCACTTCTAGGAATATATCCCAAGAAACCAAAAACACCAATCAGAAAGGATATATGCACCCCTATGTTCATAGCAGCACAATTCACCATAGCTAAGATTTGGAAACAGCCTAAGTGCCCATCAGTAGATGAATGGATTAGAAAACTGTGGTACATCTACACGATGGAATACTATGCTGCTGTAAAAAAGAAGGAACTCTTACAATTTGCAACGGCATGGATGGAGCTGGAGAGCATTATGCTAAGTGAAATAAGCCAGTCAATGAAGGAAAAATACCACATGATCTCACTCATTCATGGATAATAGAGACCATTATAAACTTTTGAACAATAATAGATACAGAGGCAGAGCTGCCTCAAACAAATTGTCAAACTGCAGCGGGAAGGCCGGGGAGGGTTGGGGGGCAGGAGGGAAGGGGGTAAGAGATCAACCGAAGGACTTGTATGCATGCATATAAGCATAACCAATGGACATAAGACACTGGGGGGGTAAGGGAGGCCAGGGGATTGTCAAGGGCGGGGGGGAAAAAGGAGAAACATGTAATACTCTTTGTAATAATTTAAGCAATAAAAATATATATATATAAAAAAAAAGAATTAGTCTGTAGCTTGTTCTCAGAATAAATCTTAAAAGAGAAAAATGGGTAGGAGTTTCAAGGCTTATTGTTTGTGTTAATAACTACCATTGATACTGATGCTTATTCATATCTCTTTTCCTCCAGGAGACCTCAGACCTGCAGCTCCCCTGATCTCTCAAGCCCTGACAGGTCTAACAGCTGTTAGAGGCCACAGGAACCATGGCAGTTCTGGAGTGTGCTACCTGGTCCTGGAGGGAGGGAGGAGAGAAAGAAAGGGGACTCATTAAACCTCACAAGGGTTCAGTCCTGGGAGAGGTGTGTGCCCCAGGGCAGAGTTCTCCCCCATCCCTTTTATTCCTGCCCATCATGGCTCTGGCACCTTCCACTGAACAATCTCAAATGTCTCCATCATGAACCTGACCCCCACCCTTAGCTCAGCAGAATGCTAGGGTGGAAGGTGACATGAGGGAGTGCAGAGGTACCTTTCTGGTGGTCCAGGAAATGTGTGGGGATCAGGGAGGAGCCAGGGATGCAGATAAAGGGAGTGAAGAGTTAGGCTGGAGAATTAGAGGGAGAGGATGTGATGGAAACCCTTTCTTATTCATTACTGGCCTCACCTTCACCCCCAGATGCCCCTACTTTGCTGCACTTTGTGGAACAGCATCGAGAAGACCTGGTGGCTCGAGTGACATCAGTAGACATAGTCCTGGACAAGCTGCATGGACAGGTGCTGAGCGAGGAGCAGTATGAGAGGGTGCGGGCTGAGCCCACCAACGGACAAGATCTGGTGGCTCGAGTGACATCAGTAGACATAGTCCTGGACAAGCTGCATGGACAGGTGCTGAGCGAGGAGCAGTATGAGAGGGTGCGGGCTGAGCCCACCAATCCGGACAAGATGAGGAAGCTGTTCAGCTTCAGCAAGTCCTGGGACTGGGCCTGCAAAGATCAACTCTACCGAGCCCTGAAGGAGACCCATCCTCACCTAACTGAGGAACTCTTGGAGAAGTGACGCAGTGGCAGCGACTAGTGGGGCTACTGACCAGCTCGGCAGCTGAAGTCTGAACACCTGCTTCTGAGTCCTGGCTCTGACTGTCCAGGCTTTGGGTCCACGTTTCTTCATGTCTAAACACATTGCCATCACCCAGCCAGAGAGGCTCAGTTGGTTGAGTGTTGTCCTGTTCACCAAAGGGTTGCTGGTTCAATTTCTGGTCAGAGCACATACTTGGGTTTCGGGTTCAGAAGGCAACTAATTGATTTTTCTTATCTCTCTCTCTCTCTCTCTCTCCCTCCCTCCCTCCCTTCCTCCTTCTCCTTCTTTCTAAGCATGCCCTCAGTGAGGATAAATATATAAACAAACAAACACATTGCCATTTGAGTTGCCTTCTTGCCCTAAAGTTATGGATCATTGGTAATACCTTTGCTGGGCATTATATGTCCATGCTCAGTGATGCCACAGGGGCTCTCAGACTGCCTCCCTATTATTAGGGACCAGTAGATATTTGTATATCATGATACATTCTTCATATCATGATACTACATTTATGTATCATGCTACTACACTACAGTAAAGCAGAATACTGGGTAGACAGAGGGCCTAAGATTGAGAAATATGTGGGAGACGTTAGATTTAGACTGTACTGTGTATTGACTTGTGAGACAATAGAGAGGGCAGCACAGGAAGCCATAAGTTCTAATGGGAAGACAAGGGCAGACATTGGGCAGGCCTGCTATTGGAAAAGAGGGAGGCAGGAGCAGGAAAGGATGATCCCAGATAGTGATGGGTCAATAAGAGGCAGAGAAGAGCCAGGAGGAAGGACTCTAGGTCCTGCAGGGCCAGCCCCTACTAATTAGAGCCTGAGTGTCAGCAGCCATCCCCTCTGCACCCCTAGAATTTCCCTGTAACCTTGCTCCCATGACACCTCACCCCCTTCCGAACAGGCCTGGGAAGGCATGTTCCGACCCGGGCAAGGATCCTCTTCTTTGGTCAAGGGAGGAAGGTGCTGGGTCCTCCCTGACTGGGCATCTTCAGCCCAGGGGCATGCAAAAATGAGCTCAGGGCTGGTCAATGCGCAGAGAAAAGAGCTTTATTGCTCAGGCTCCCACAAGACAATTTCCGCACCACACAGCGTCATTTGGATACAAACCTGGCAACACTGATAAAGCCTCTAGCCTCTAACTGGGCAGCATCGTGTGCATCCGTTAACAATTGCACCAGCACAGTTAATAAAGTGACCCTCTCATATCCACTCCCTCAGTCAAAACCAATGACCACATTCCCGCTACTTCCCTGATAGCACCCTGTGTCAGTGCACCCTCAGGGCCTACTACAGCAGCAGGCTCAGGGCAGACACTGAACCAATGTTTGCTGAATAAGCAACGAATGAATTCTCAAGTGACAGTGCTCTTTTACAAGTTGTGTAGGTTGTCCCCCACCTCCACTGTCCCCCACCCCGTCAACACACACACACACACACACACACACACACACACACTCACACACACACACACACACACACACACACACACAGGCCAATCTTCCTTCCCTCTGCAGAGTTGAGTCCTTCTCCTTCCCTGGCCTCCCCTAACAGGAACACCACCTTCCACCTGAGCTACTTTAGCTCTTGGATTTCATCATCCAGGCTCCTCCCAACACCGGTAAAAGGTTTCCCGCCACAGTCTGGAGGACCCCAGCCAGGACCCCCATCTGCGAAGCCCGGAAGCTAAGGGCCTGCGTCCCAGGAGGTCTGCAGCCTCTGGTCCCGCCCTCCAGAACTCAGTGAGGAGCGTCCCTTCCTGGCAGGACAGCTCCTTGGGCGATGGGCCTCTGCACAGCTCCCAAGTGAAGATGGTGGCTGCAGCGAAGCCTAAAGCAGGAAGAACGCACAGTCGGGGTCAGCCCCAACCCATGGGAACAGGGCGCACCACCCTGACAAAGGCCGCTCACTGTGCCCTGCACTCGGGGAAGTCCCTGAGCGCTCAGGCCCCCACCTCCCGCGCTCAAAGACCTGTCTGCGCAGCTCTGGGCACAGCTGCCTCCCCCTGGGCAATGCCCAGCCCGGGCCAGAGCGTCCACCCTCTCCACGGGCCTCTTTGGAAGGCCGCGGGCAGTGGTTGGCTCATCCCTTACAGAACAGTCTGGAGGCTGTGCGCGCCCTAAACACACAATGACAGGTTCCCTGCGCGTGCCCCCACCTCACAAAGTGGATGGGTCCGCGGACGTTATCCTATTATAGACGGGGCCCAACTGCACCCCAAGATTCTAAATATTGGATCTAACTGCCCTCTCCTCTAACGTTCAGGTGCAAACATAGATCCTTATTTTATTATTGGCAGCTGCTTCGACATTCCTACTGGTGGACAAAGGTAGTGACAAGCAGAGAAGAAAAGTAACAAACATTAAAAGCTAAAGCGCAGACCTCGGAGCAGGGCGCCGCGTGTGAGGTCCTTCCCAGACTCTGGGCGGGGCGGGGAACACAGTGACACTGTTTGGTGTTTTTTCATGTTTCTGTGGGGCTGTTGCTTAGTTGCGCGAATATCTGGCTCCAAGGAGAAGACTGGGAGGGGGCAGCGGGGCTGAAGAACTGGGAACCGGGCTGAGTTGCAGCCCTGGGAGCTCCACTTCACAGCAGCGTTGTGGGAACCTGTAACCGGGGGGTGGGGAGGGGATTTGGGGGGATGGAGCTTTCCGTAGAGGAGCAGGAGGCGGGCGGGGCGAGGTTAGAAAGTACTGGGAAGTCGAGGTCTTCCGAAGAACCATGAGCTGCTTGCAGGCGGAGCCAGGTAGCAGGACGTGAGACCGCTTCTCCTCTGCTTGGATGGCGCCCTGCCCTGGCGCGGGAGGAAGGTGGGAGGAGGCGGCTTCTCCAAGCAGCCATGGGGTGGGGCCTTGAAGGTAATAGGTAGGAGTTGAGGTCTTGGTGTTGGCACAATAATGCAGTGATTCTTAATCTTTTGGGGAGTAGTGACTCCCTTTAAAATGTTATAAAAGTTATGAGCCATCGGAAAAACAAAACGAAACAAGTTATGGACTGAGTGTTCAATATTTTGACTTCAGAAATTTGTCTTTGGTTCCGTCTGGCACAAAGGGCTCTCTCTGGCGTTGAGCTGATGGAAGGAATAAACCATCTCTGCTTTACATCATTACAACCTGAAAGTACTTCCACAGTGCAGGGACAGCAGGGCCTGGCGGGCTCCACCCCACCCTACCACAGAGAGCTTTTCCTGAAGTGCCTGTGGCATTAATGTGTGTTAAGGTGGCTCCTGTGGGCCTGTGTCCTGTACGGGATCTTAGGTCCTCAACAAAGAACATGCAGCGATGCTCTCTGAAGCCCATCAGCGGGGCCGGGGAGGGCTGCAGCACCCTCTGAGTGTGTAGCCTGGGGAGGGAGGCCCTCTGTGCTGAACCTGGTCAGTAGCTGAATGACTAGCAGGGAATCTGTGCATTCAAATCGAGGTGCTGTGATGGAGGAATCTATTGCCGGGCCCCACAGATATTGCTCCCATCAGAGAAAAAAAAATTCCTCCTGAACCACATATCATTCCATTTCTTAGAGCAACGGTTCTCAACCTGTGGGTCGCGACCCCTTTGGGGGTAGAGCGACCCTTTCACAGGGGTCGCCTAAGACCATCGGAAAACACATATATAATTACATATTGTTTTTGTGATTAATCACTATGCTTTAATTATGTTCAATTTGTAACAATGAAAATACATCCTGCATATCAGATATTTACATTACGATTCATAACAGTAGCAAAATTACAGTTATAAAGTAGAAACGAAAATAATTTTATGGTTGGGGGTCACCACAACATGAGGAACTGTATTAAAGGGTTGCGGCATTAGGAAGGTTGAGAACCACTGTCTTAGAGGGAATTCAGCTCCATTAATCTTATAGGACCACCATAGGATATGCGGTCCACTGCAGACTGGAACATTGTTATGTGGCACCTGACCATAGTGTGAATGTCTGACCGTATCTAAAAGAATAAATGATAGTACCTCCATACAAATAAAATTCTACACAGACCATTTTAGAAAGTGCCATATGTACCGACTTGGAAAGAAGCCTACAACATATTGTAAAATGAAAAAGGGAAGTTGCAGCACAATATTTATAGCATTAACACTCACTTTGGATTTTACAAGCCATATTTAATAAAAATAGCTAATGATGTACTGAATTTATTCTTTGCCAGGCACTTATCTAAATATTTAATCCTTATAACAGTCTCATGAGATAAGTACTACTATTCCATTTTTTCAGATGAAGAAACTGAGGCACCAAGAAATGAAGCAATTTTCCTAAGGCTGTGGGGATGGTGAAGTGCTGGAGCCCAGAATCGGGCCTGGCAACCTGACCCCTGAGCCGGCACCGTCAACCACGTGTCAGGAGCTTAGGACCAGGACTCGGACTGGGCTGGGAAAGGAAGGGCCTTTCTCTGCCCCCTTCCCCCATTTACGCATTGTTTGATTTGTTACAATGAACATGTAATTGGAAAACAAAAATTTTATAAAAGCGCTCAAACATGTGGCATCCTTGCCTGGGATGGGAGCCAAGAGAGGGTGGAGGGAACCACAGACGTTCTCAGGCTGGTCTGAGCTCAAACCTGACTTCGCATTATTCCCCCAACGTGCACCTTTCTCCTCAGCCAGCAAAGGGAAAAGAGAAAGGGCCTGACTTCGGTGTAAGACAAACTGTCTTCCAGCTCTGTCCTGGCACTGGCCAGCGGCGTGGGCTTTGCACGGCATCATAGCCACTGTGCCCCCTTCTCAGCTGCAGACACTATCACCACCATCAGGGCTTCCTGCCAGGCTCAGAGAGCAGGACTGGCAAGCAGCAGGTGGTTGCTGAGGCTGCTCCGCCCCCTGCTCTCTGTAGCTGTGGCTCCTGGGGACCCAGCTGCACTTGAATTCAGGCAAAGTCTTGGGCTGACCTCATCTGGGAAGGTTTTATTGTCCCCATGGCATCCACATCCAACCAGGTCCAAACTCAGTTTAGAGGAAGA